TCTGAGCCAGTTTTTCTCCTTTCCCTTAAGTGCCTCATTCTCCCCAGGAATAGTATAAAGTGTTTCTTGTAGAGGAAAGTTTAACCCTCACCACAAGCATATGGATACTCTGAAACACAAATCTAAAAATGATACTTAAAACTCATCCTTTCTCGTTTCCTACCCATATATTCCATTCCTTTGTCCTTTCCCTATGATTTTGAGAAATAAAAAACTTAACAGTGGCTAAAGAACTGAGTAAACAGTAGGAACCTATTCATTCATTCACTAAAGATCACTGAGTTCTACATATACTATGTTGCAGGCTCTGTTCTAAGCACTAAGCAAACATTAGTGAACAAAGCGAAATTTCTACATCTGGAGCTTATATTCGAATGAGTAAGATACAAATAATAAGTGAATAAATGATATATAAATTGGTGGTAGGTGTTATTAAGAAAAATACGTGGGGCACCTGGGTGGCTCAGTTGGTTAAGTGACCGCTTTCGGCTCAGGTCATGATCCTGGAGTCCCGGGATCGAGTCCCGCGTCGGGCTCCCTGCTCAACGGGGAGAGTCTGCTTCTCCCTCTGACCCTCCCCCCTCTTGTGCTTTCTCTCTCTCTCTCTCTCATTCTCTCTCTCAAATAAATAAATAAAATCTTAAAAAAAAATACAGTGGTACATGGAGAAGGAGTGACTGGTCTTGCTATATCGTGCATTAATTTTTATATGTCCCATAGCCTAGCCCTCAATACATTTTTGTTGAATGAACAGATGTATTAAGACATCTCTATGGTATCTTCTGTCTCATTGGTAACAGTGATAATACTGTAGCTAGTGAGAATTATCTAAACACAATGTCTGTGAATTCTGAAAAGTTAGAGTAGTAGCATTAAAGATTAGAATAGTGAAAATAAAAATCAAATTTCTGGTATTCAACCAAATTAGAGTAAGGGAAGACCAAGAAAGTCAGATCATACAAGAGAACCAAAAGGAAGAGGCTAGCAGGTCTGTACTCTTTTTCTTCTTTTTTTTTTTTAAGACAGGGAATACTTTATTCAAATCCATCAGAGAAATAGACAACTTGGGTCTATAACAAGGCGTTGTGTTTTAAAGCACAGGTCAGTAATTGTATATGAGAATATACACTGCTACATACAGATTAACTGATCAGAGCACAACTTTTTAATGCTCAAAACAGAATAAGCTTCCCTGTAAAAGCAGCACCTCTGTGTCATTAACTTTACTATTCCTCGCCTTCTTCTTCACCCTCTCCTTCCAACAGAATCCACACCAACTTCCTCATAATCCTTCTCAAGGGCAGTCATGTCCTCGCGGGCCTCAGAAAATTCTCCTTCCTCCATGCCCTCACCCACACCAGTGAACAAGGCCCTCTTGGCATATATCAGGTGATACTTGTGGTCCAGCTGATCCCAGGCCTCGGCCACGGCCGTGGTGTTGCTCAGCATGCACACAGCTCACTATACTTGAACCAGGTCTCCACCAGGTACCACAGTGGGAGGCTGGTAATTAATACTAACTTTGAAGCCAGTAGGGCACCAGTCCACACACTGGATGGTATGCTTGGTCTTGATGGTGGCAGTGGCAGCATTGACATCTTTGGGAACCGTGTTGCAGCAAGACATGTATTTACCATGGCGAGGGTCATATTTCACCATCTGGTTGACTGGCTCAAAGCATGCATTGGTGATCTGTGCAACAGAAAGCTGTTCATGGCAGGTTTTCTCAACAGACATGACATGGGCATATGTGGCCAAGAAGTGGATACAGAGATTGGGCATCAGGTTGGTCTGGAATTCTGTCAGATCTACATTCAGGGCTCCATCAAATCTGAGGGAAGAAGTGATGGAGAAAACAATCTGACCTATCAACCTGTTTAGGTTAGTGTAGGCTGGGTGTTCAATGTCAAGATTTCTCCAACAGATGATAGCCTTGTGAGGTTTCCCTTGTATGTTATTGTTTTCTCTTGCTTCTTGTAAAATTCTCTATCACTACTTTCTGCCATTTTAATTACCGTGTGTATTGGTGTGGACCTCCTTAGATTGCTTTTGTTAGAAGTTCTCTGTGCCTCCTGGATCTGGATTTTTGTTACCTTCCCCAGATTCAGGAAGTTTTCAGCTATTATTTCTTCAAATAAATTCTCTGCCCCCTGTTCTCTCTTCTTCTGGGACTTCTATGTGAATGTTTTTATGCTTGATGGTATCACTAACTTCCCTGTTTTCATTTACTGTTATTACTTTTTCTCTCTCCTATTCAGCTTGACTGCTTTCCATTACTCTGTCCTCCAGGTTGCTTATCCATTCTTCTGCTTCCTCTAGTCTACTATTTATTCCATCTAGTGTATTTTTAATTTCAGTTATTGTGTTCATCTCTGATTGCTTCTTTCATACGTTTTCTATCTCTTGAGTGTCCCATTGAGGTCCTCCATTCTTTTCTCAAGTCCAGTGAGTATCTTTATGACCGTTACTTTAAATTCTCTATCATGCATATTTCTTATCTCTGTTTCATTTAGTTTCTTGCTGTGATTTTGGACTGTTCTTTCATTTGGAACATATTCCTCTGTCTCATTTTGTCTGACTCCCTGTGTCTGAGTGTTTGGAAAGTCAGCTACATCTCCTGCTCTTGAAAGTAGTGGCCTTATAAAGAAGAGGTCTTGGAGTGCCCTGTTCACCAGAACTTCAGGGTGTTTCTTACGTGTATTGCATATGCCCTGCGGTTGTAACTGAGCTGCCGTTGCATTAGTCCAGTCATGGCTCTCTCCTCCCATTGTGGACAGGGTTTGGTCCCTATGTTGTTGTGCCAGTCTGGGGCCACCTTGGGCTTGAGTCAGAATCAGGCATTTGCCAGAGGTGTGGTAGCACTGAACTGCTGGATACTTCTCCTTGTGTTATCTAGGTGGATGATGGAATGAGGTGAGCTTAGGGTTCTCCTACTCCACCGTCTTCCCTGAAGTTGCTGTTATTATTTACATTGCTAAGCCCAGTTAATGGGAATGTTTTTTTAATTAACCCAAAATTATATGATCAATTAATTTATGACAAAGGAGGCAAGAATATACAATGGGAAAAGACAGTCTCTTCAATAAATGGTGCTGGGAAAACTGGAGAACTGCATGTAAAAGAATAAAATTGGACCACTTTTTAACACCATAAACAAAAACTCAAAATGGATTAAAGACCTAAATGGGAAGGGGTGCCTGGGTGGCTCAGTTGGTTAAGCGTCCAGTTCTTGATTTTGGCTCAGGTTATAATCTCAGGGTTGTGAGATTAAGCCCCGGGTCGGGCTCTGTGCTCAGGGGTGTCTGCTTTTTACCCTGTCCCTGCCCCTCTCCTTCTGCCACCCCTCACCCCTGCCCCACACGCACGGACTCTCACTCTCTCACTCAAATAAATAAATCTTTAACAACAACAAAAAAGACCTAAGTGGGAGTATATTTTAATACTAAAAAAGGTGAGAAGATATACTCAACCCTCCACTGATCGTATCTGCAACATTAACCAGGTTTTTCAAACCACTTAACTTAAGCCTTTCCACTGACCACTTTGAACTAACTGCAGGCTCAAGCTTTCTGGAAGGGAGGAGAAAGCTTTTTTCAAATAAGCTCTTTAAACTTAAGTGGTGCCACAAAATACCACAAAGTACCACAAAAATATATAGTTAATCTTTCCATACCTGTTTTATGAAATAATCAAAATCAAATTTATGTAAGCTGTTTTCAGTCCTTACATCTAGCATTTTCCCCTTCTAATAAGTTCATAGTTTAATCAACAATCTCTATTTATAGTCAAGTCTAGGTAAAGATTTTAAAAGTTGTTGTTTTGGGGAAGCATTTCCTGCCCATTATAACATTTTTGTTAGAAATAGAATTTATGGTGGTAAATATAACATTGTATCAGGAAAAAGACTATAGAAACAACTTCTGGAACCATTTCAAAACAGAATCCCAAAGACAGTATATTACTGTAGTGATAAACTCAAAGATATATTTCTACATTAATAAAATATGCTTTCTAAATTAATCTCAAGTCTGAGCCAGACAGGGAATGATGGAAAGCCTGAATTCTATACCCACATAATCAACAGTCTGTGGAAACTGGGAATCATGCCATTGGTCTCCAACTTAGCACAGTTGAGAAATGGCATTCTTTATGAAGCACTCATCCAGGAAATGAGTGGGTCAAAAAGCACACCAGTAAAAGGTCCATAAACTTGTTTTATGAATGAAGTATAAAGTGTACTGGCTCCGAGCTGTAGCATGTTTATGAGTACATCATAATTTTTCATTCTACTGTTTTTATCATGTTAATAGATATATATAACAGAATGGTAACAGGAAAAAATAATCATGTCAGCCATCAGAATATTGTCCCATGCCATTTCATATTTATAATTTTTTTCCATATGTGCTCTCATTCTACAATATCTTCCCCCTGCCCCCCGACCAAAAAATGAAATGATACATACACACACAACAATGCAAACTTAAACTAATCAAATTTATTCATACTACCCATGAAAAGCAATTACATTTGTGTACATAAAATCATTAACACACAGAACAGGAGAAATCTGATTAGACATAATACAGAAAATAAATGTGAAAATTAAAAATAGCATAGTTTAGTTATTAAATTTATACTGTACTTTCTACTTATTTATAGCAGCATCTGTAAGATTCCTCTATTTGTTAATAGTTAACTAGCAGCAAAATTTTTAAAATTACACAAATTCAGTAGATGTTTCCCTCCACTGCTTCATTCATACAGAATTTATCACATTAACCAAACAAAACCACTTCTTTTTCCTGAAGAAAAAGGTAGGAAAAGATTTCATAAGTAACCAGTTTCCGCCAAGAAGAAAGGGGAAGGAAATTTGCATGCCATTACCAAAAGATAAATTCTCAACCCCTTGACCAATTGTGGGTGGATTTTGTGGAGTCTCTGTGTATGTGTTAGTGAATGAAGCTCTGTTAACTTTATTTTCTGACTTTATCTTGCAGTTGAAGAATATGTGGAAGTTTCCAGGGGGCCTGTCAGAGCCTGGAGAAGATATTGGTGTGGACACCTTCCATATTTTTAATTGGCTTGAAAATGTTCAGGAAATTTGTGTTTACTTTTTTTGTTCTATAGCTGAAAATAAGATTTTAAATTACCAAGTGAGAAATTTCAGAGAGGTTACTTCAGGGCTAATATAAAATTAGCAGTAAAACTTGTAATACTACAATTTATCCCACTAATATAAAAAATACCACTAGGAGCATGCCACCTATTCTGTTTAGGGTTACTTCTAGATTAATTTGTTTGAAAATAAAAAGCTTTGCATATACATTAGTAAAGTTTAGCATTAAGGGTTATTTTGGATATGACTAATACTGTTTCTGGAATTAAACTATAAGAAAACACAAATTCTTGACCATTTCACCACACAAGGATGAACAGTAACTTTTAAATGAACCTCAAAATAAGTATTCATAAAGTCAGTTACAGAGCAGTAGTGACTTAATGCTCCTCTATAAAAATTTTATCTACTATTTATTTTAAATAGTCAGGAAGCCAAAACATAATAAAATGTCTCACACAAGAAAGTCTCAAGTGAGAGTTCCCTAAAGCAACTTCCTGAGCTCAATATTTAAAACAGGGAAATGTGAAATAAGCTAAGAACTCTCCATGTTACTGAATTTACAGTAAATAGAAGAAAGAATAAAAACGTAGTTTTCCTACCTATTCTTGACCCTTGGTTGGGTCAAATGCAGTCTGCATCATAATAAATCAATAGATGCCTCATTTGATATCAGTATTATTTCTCCATGATTTTTTCCTCCATATGTATGTCCCCTATTTAGCCAACATTTATATATAAAGGCACTTTCCTAGGTTATCTTTAAATATTTTATTTAAAAATGTATATATACTTGAAACTTGATTTTTTAAATGTTACACAGATTAAAATGCCCTATACACAGTACATAGTCAACTCCTAACAAGCCATAAGTAAATTTCCTACACTGAGATATATCCATAGCAAATTTTGGCTTTTAGGTACTTAGGGATCTTCTGCCTAGAGTCCATTGCTCGGGTCTTCTGTTGAAATAAAAGATTTTGTGGTAGTACAAGTGCTGAAAGAGAGGGCCTTTTATTTTGGAACACCTAATTAATCTCACACTATCCTTATGTGATATATGAGAGTGTGTGTGAGCTAGTTAAATTTATGTCTTACACCCTTACCCAATCCACATGGGGCAAAAATCAAGCTACAGGAGGTATGTTTAGCTTCCTCTTCTGCATCTTGACTTCACAAATGAACTGACTTTTTCCTTTTGAGTTTTTAACAGATCTTGTGAATTTTCAATATACTTATATTGTAATGCAAATGAAGCACATTTCCAAGCCAAGTGTGCATAGTTTCAGGTGTAAGTGTACTCCAGAACGCTTCAAGTCCAGATTAAAAAAAAAGGAGTGAATTCTGAATTCAGTGTTTGTGGTTGGCACAACAACCCCCCTGTTCAGCCATGAGGACTTACAAGGAAAGCAGCAACTGGCATTCATCGTACTGCTTAGGAGTATTATTCATTAAAGCTTTGCCTTAGAACTGCCTGAAAGCAGCTAGAAGTGATAACTGACGACAACAGAGTTCTGAAAGACTATGTCTGTCTATATTAGAGCATTTCTGTCTTATAACACAATAGATTATTCTTAACGATGAAGTCTGTTACCCAATAATTATCAAAATTATTTTCTTTAAGCTCTGTTTTTAGGAAACTATGTAATGTACTTTAGGAATACAGCCATCACAAATGTGCACACATTCATATCAGCTCTTAAGTAGTAAACACTAGTTAACTGAAAAACACGTTTGTTTGGAATCCTTCATTCTTTGATAATACTAGGTAAATGAAGCACTATTGTCCATAGTGCTTAAAAAAATTAAAGGGGGGCATATACAAAGTAGAATGCAATCTTCAGGCTTTAATATAATACCCTAATAGTACGAAGGTATCTACAAGGTTAAAAACAGAAATTGCCTTCCTAAAAAAATTTCATTACCATTGACAGGAAGAGACTCTCCTGCGTGGACAAAGGACCATAAAGCAGTGGGGTCTGCTCAGAGCTCATCAGTGCACCAGAATCAGAGGGAAACACCAGGAAAACCCACCTTCTGCACAATCTTTCCTATTTTATTTCAACCTAATCCTATTAAATATTACAAAGTAGAAATAACAAAATAAACTCCATTTCACTGTCCTGTAACTAAACAAAACATTGGGACATATTTAAACATACCTCTCAATCAACAAAAATAAAAACAAAACCCTCTTGGCTTTTCCTATGTTCTTTAAACATATAAAACAGTAAATGTTATTTCAGTTTGGCTTACAGTACATTAAAATAAAGGACAACAGAATAAAGCAGTTTATCTGCATAAAAAATTTTTTTTTTTAATTCTTGGCGAAAAAGCCTTGGGGTAAAGATTTCCATCTTGAGGTGGAAGGAATCATTCATACCCTGGATGCAAAAGCACTTTTTTACCCATTCGATTTCTAGTCTAGTCAATGATATGCTGATTCAAGTTAAATTGATCAAACTACCAAGCAGTGCTGATTTCCAATCAACTGCTCAGGTGGACTGCTGAGTAGGGTAGATCAACTCACTAGTCTGTCCTGTGCCTCCATGATACATAAAAAGGCTAGACTCCAAATGAAATGGCAAACTCTGGATTAGTGGCACTAAGAGTTTAACAGAACCCCCATGGGTATTTTTCAAAGCGTGAAAGAATAAAACATTTAAACAATAGTTAAGTGAAATCAGCAAATGATGTCTAAAATTTAAGACTAGTGCCAAATCTGTAACAAATTAAATAACATGTTCCAAGCTGAAAATTATTTTCTTTTTATTAAGGAAGATTTTCCTTTTACTCACAAATTCTTTTATGTTTTTAGTTTAAAACAGTTAAGTTCTAACCATGTTTAATCTATGGCAAATCTCAAGGGAAGGGGAAGTCAGCATGTAATTCAAAATGGCAGACAAATGTCTTACATTTTAGAACACTTTGCTTTTCCTGTGCATATTTCCAGAGCTGTTTCTTAGCGGGGGAAAAAATCCACAAGCATATGTAGGCAATTAAGACAGTCTACAGTCAGAATATGTGGAAATTGAGAGTTTTTTTCCTTGACTTCCCCCTCCTTGCCTATTCTTCACCAGTAGGACTACTGAGAAGGCAAATATAATTTTCTATTTGACAAACAAGGAAATAGAAGCATTGAATAGAGGACTCTGAACAAAAATCTATGCCTGTAGCAATTGTGAAATTGGGAAGCTTCCAGCAAACTTGAGCAAAGAAGGCAGCTTTTTAAAGGGTTTTTCTCAGGAACAGTTTGGGAGATGGTGACAGAGCATCACAAAATTAGAGGAAGTCCATTTCGGGGGTTCTGGAGATTTAGAAAAAGCAACCGCAAAACCATTAATGGCAATCAAAATCTTGCTCCAGAAATTTGCATAATATTGAAAAAAACCTTATAAAATGTGAAACCCTTGTTGTATTATAAAATTCTGTAAACTGCAAGTTTTTTTTTTTAATACTTTTGATAAAATAGTTCTTTAGAATCTCAAACAAAAGAAATGCCAAAAACTACCATACTGGGATTCCACTGACAGGATAACTAAGGGAGCATAACAAAATGGTTCTAAATGAAACTGCTCTAGGATGTCAGAGGCTTGACAGCCCCACCCAAGATCACTGGGAAAGCTTTGAACCGTTCACAGCTCAATACATTCTGCAGCTCTACAGACTTTTGTAAGGAAGAATGAATCACTTTTTCTCAATACTGATATGTATAAGTTTAGGCAGTTTTGATGGATGATCACAAACAGGATAATAATGAAGAAATACATAGGAATATTAACTGCAGGGACCTGTGTTTTCAATTTTTGGGAAATAAGAGTCAGAAGAGGTTAAAAATGTGACCCCCAAAATACACAGGTAGGTAAGCCTATAAATAGCCAAAGAAATATTCAATATTTCAAAAGCTTCTAAGACGTACAGTGGTAAGAAAATAGTTTGGTGTTCCAGGATGTCCAGATGGCAGACTTTATGTTGAATACTTTCCTGGGATGAGGTTTTTTGCTTTTCAATCTTTAGATAATGCTACTCTATCTGAAAATCTTTGATGATTAAAATTCTAAAAATGTGATCCTTACTGATTTGTACATCTTTCTTTTATGTAGGAGACACAGCAGTTCGAGAAGTTTTTGAAGAGACTGGTATAAAATCAGAATTCAGGTCCCTCCTGAGCATTCGGCAACAGCACACCGATCCCAGAGCTTTTGGGAAATCAGATATGTTTATCATCTGTCGCTTAAAGCCACATTCATTTACCATAAATTTTTGCCAGCATGAATGCTTAAGGTGTGAATGGATGGATCTCAATGACCTGGTCAAGACTGAAAATACAACTCCCATCACCAGCAGAGTTGCTAGGCTGCTGCTCTATGGGTACAGAGAAGGATTTGACAAGATTGATTTCACCGTGGAAGAACTTCCGGCAGTTTACAAAGGCTTGTTCTATAAACTCTATCACAAGGAACTGCCAGACAATTACAGAACTATGACAGGAATGGATTAAATCCTTATTTGCATGTTTTAAAAAATTTTAAGTAAATTGTACATGGAGAATAATGTGTGCCATATTATAAAAAGTAGTGGACATTTGGGGTTAACTAAATATCTGACTTTAATTTTCTAGTGTGTATAATTTTCATGAAGAAAACTTGTTTGACGAAAACTTGCAAATTTATAAGCCTCTTTTCAAATGAAGCAAATGTATGAAAAAGATTGTAGCTCTATGTAAGCTTCACTGGATAAAGGCAAATGCAATACAAAAGGTGGAAGTCTATACATTTTCCAGGAATTTTTGTTGCTTTTCTTTAGTAAGGCAATGGTTAAATATTTACTATTAGAAAAAAGGTTATCTGACCATCCATCCCTACTGAGCAGATAGCTGTACACATTTTTTTCTTTTCTTTCATTAACAAATTTCAAAAATATACGTCATCTTTCATGTGAAATGAGATCAGATGCTGCCGTTAAGATCAGCTCTTAGCAGACATAGGAAGAAAAAGTATAGCTTTCTGCCCAGGTCCTGTTTTGGGTCCAAGTTTATACTGCCCAGTTCGTTTCAGTGCCACATACCAACTGGAGTATTTCCTTGACCGGTAAGTATTGTAGTTATTAGATTCCAATCGTTCAAAAAAGAAACACTCGTCGGTAACACATTTCTGAAAAATAAAGGAAGAATTCGTAGTTACTTTTATATTTTCATATGAAATATTTATGACACTACACTGCCTGTTCTGCTCAACCAGCAGCAGTGCTCTTGGCTTCAGCAGGAGAGTCAAACTAGTTTGCAAGATTCAACAGAACAAAAGTCTGACAAAATTTAGCTCTGCAGAGGGATGCGGGAAGGAACACAGCAAGTCAGCAGGAGAGCTTTCAGACACATCTCTTCAGAGGAAGAATCCAAGGACCATTCTCCAGCCCCCACAGGGGACAGACCAGGTGTCAGGCAGCAAGAGCACACACATGCGCTGGGAACCGCACTGCCTTGGACTTGAAACATCCCATGAACACAGCTTTCACAAAGGGGGATACATCCAGTAACAAAGGGCACAGTACACTTAGTGAAACCCAGAGCTGTGGCTTCCAGCTAGGTACTTATGGTACATCCATATTCCTCCCAGTCCAGAGGCAGGTTACCAATCAGGGATCACTTTTACTTTTATCAGGGTTCCATGAAAGTGATGGAAGGGTAACCCAGAGGTAACCTTCCTAAAGAAGAAGGGTTTTGTTAATACTTTACTCACAGAAACAGAACCAGTTCCTTAAATTATAGCAATTTTTTTCCCTCGTGTTTACCCTAAGGCATAAAAACAATAGTTTATTGTACAGAAAATAGCTAATGTATATAATGCCCAAAAATTGTACTGGAACATTATATGATTAGTATTCTCAAAACACTAATAGATAATGAAGAATAAGTAACGTAGACCATATTGATTTTTGGCAGTGTCTTTCTTGTGGGAAAGGAAACTATTCTCCCTTTTTATTTCAGTTCAACTCTTTCTGGGGGGTGGGGGATAGCTAGATTCACAAATACTTAGACCTGGAAATACTATTCCAAGTAATGGAGTCTAAGAGGCTGCTACATTATTTCACGTAAATGTTCAAAAATCAACTTCACAGGATAGACTGATGATAGTTACTGACCTCTGGGGTGTGTGTTGGGTGGGGGGTGTCAACAAATGATTTACTTTAAGGGAAGAAAGGAAAAATTATTTTTTATATTACAATTAGGAAGAAAGAATTATAAACTCATATAGAAAACCGTATAAATCTATACATATTTGTATCTCTCCATATAAATACAATATGTACACATAGATATATGACATAAGCCTATAATTTTGTATTAATGAGTGTACCGGATTCCAGCTTATTTCTATATACTCAAATCTAGGAAACTTCAGGCTTAAGAAAACACATTCAAAAGACTTGAATCTTTTCCCAGATTCTTTAGTTCTAAGATAAACTAAACAGTGGCACAAACTGTGAGAGAAACATAAATCAATAAACAGAACAGTGAAAAGAGCTGGCATAATAACCAAAATGAAAATGATCTAAATGTGAGTAACAGGCATCTCAGTCATGTAAAGTAAGGGTGTGATATTAGATCTTGTAATCTGCTACTAGGGATAAGAATTTTACCGGATATTTATTTGGCTTTAACGTTTTGATCACTGTTAACTTTTTAAAAATGGAAATACAAACTAATCTAATTTGCCCATTTTTTGCAAGAAATTACTAATAAAGCAATTTAAGTCCTTCTCATGCACATCAATGACAGGTAGCATTACAGAGAAGTATACATTGCACAAGGACCCAGCTATGTGATACATGTAAAGATAAAAGTGTGGTAACAGTGAAACACTTACACCTAGAAAAATGTGGCTATTCCGTAGACAATGCTTTCACTTTACCTTTGGTGAAATTTATTGTGCTTTTCATATTAACTGAAGTCATCCTGTGTTACTTTATTTTGTCACTTTTCAGTGCCCCTGATAAAAATTTTCCTCTTTCCCTATTCCAGGTTTAAGATCAGGAGTAGAAGCAGCAGGCACAAAGAGTGAAAAAAATCATAGTGATCATAAAGGTAACATGAATGGTCATCACTGAGCTTCACAGGCTAATTCCCCAGAGGGAGACTTAAGCCACGTCATTCAGTCATCATTCTGGACATTGATTTTTGAGTGTTGGGTGCCCCACCTTGCTAAGCTGGCATTCCCTACAATGCCTAGCCTATTGACATACCATGTTGTATGTTGACATACCATGTCAACAATATCTGCCTTCTCAGCCAGTTCCTAGTATTTCAGAGAAAAGCAATAGTACCAGTGATTAAGTAGATAATACATCATAAAACCACTTTTTTTTTTTTATAGAAGTTACTTGTACCTTTACAAAAACAAAGGGGAGCGGAGGAAAACTTGCATCTGTGCTGAATGTTCAGATACATAAATTTACTAAACTATTACACACTTGAAAACAAACTACAGGGGCGCCTGGGTGGCTCAGTTGGTTAAGCGACTGCCTTCGGCTCAGGTCATGATCCTGGAGTCCCAGGATCGAGTCCCACATCAGGCTTCCCGCTCAACGGGGGGTCCGCTTCTCCCTCTGACCCTCTTCTCTTTCATGCTCTCTGTCTCTCATTCTCTCTCTCTCTCAAATAAATAAAATCTTTAAAAAAAAAAGAAAACAAACTACATTTTTCCAAATGGGTGGTAGGGCCAAAATTCAGCTTTCAAGTAAAGCAGGCATTTAACAGCCCTATATAAGTACAATTTTCAAGCCTTTCCATCCTAAGTTTACAAGTCATTATCAATGACTATGATCTCAATGTTCATGTTAAAAGTGAAAGCAATATAATTTTTGCTTATCTTTATAAGCATTTACAGAGCTTTTTCCCTATTCTCAATGTTTAACTGCTCACCTTTTCAAACTTATAAGAAAAGGGGGTCCTCAGAGGAATGACATCACAGAGGAAGTGGATAAGTAGTTTCTAAGGGCTTATAACACTTGTACCCTGCCTTTGAGGCCTTATTTTATATAGGCCAATGAGCTGGGAAATTCCTTAATCATGGCTTTTGACCTCTTTCATGCATATCATTTAAATATCACAGCAATCCTGTGACATAATTATCCTATACACATTATCTAAAACTCCATGCTATTAGTAACTTACTTCAGACTGTGGATACTCTCTGCCCATGTATCTAGTCTGACACCTTTTCATAAGATTAAATTTTCATTTTTTAAAACTTAAGAGTAAGGGGCACCTGGCTGGCTCAGTCGGCGTCTGCCTTCGGCTCAGGTCATGATCCCAGGGTCCTGGGATCAAGCCCCACATCGGGCTCCTGGCTCAGCGGGGAGCCTGCTTCTCCCTCTCCCACTCCCCCTGCTTGTGTTCCCTCTCTCGCTGCCTCATTCTTTCTGTCAAATAAATAAGTACAATAAATAAATAAATAAATAAATAAATAAATAATAAAATTTAAGAGTAATTTGGGGATATATAAAGCACACAGTTCAAGTGATATATTCATTCATTTAATGCACAGCTTGTCTTCCAGGCACTGGGATACATCAGTGAACTTTGTGCCATTCAAATTCCAGCTGGGGAGACACACAATAAGCAATAAGCATAACTAAGTAAGTTACATGTTACAATATAAATCCTGTAGAAAAAGGTAAAGCTGAGTAGGAGAAGAGGGATTAGGAGTGGTGGGGGTAGAGATTAGGTTGCAATATTAAATAGCATAGTCACAGTAAGCTCCATTGAGAAACTGACATTTGAGCAAATACCTGAAGGAGTTAACGATCCAGCTATCAGAGAAGAGAGAGGGACTAGCCAGTGCAAAAGCCCTTCTAGTAGGACCAGGCCTAGAATGTGTGAAGGGTAGTGTACGAAGCAGAGGGTTTGAAGGGAAGAGTAATTGGAAATGAGGTCAGAAAGGTATTGGGATAGGAGATTTGTAGGCTATTGTAAATATTTAGTTCCTACGCTGACAAAATGGAAAGCCATGGTAGGATTTTAAGCAGAAAAGTGGAATGATCTGACATGTTTTTCCAGCATGACTTTGGCTGCCAAAACTATGCTGGGCCAATAGCAGATACAAAGACACTGTCAGAGGCTTGCTCGGTAACTTAGGCGAGACAGTGGAGACTTGGACCACAGGGATGGCCGCAGAGATGGTAAAAACTGTCTGCATCTGGATATATTTTGACAGTAGAATCAACAGGGTTTCCTGACAGATTGGACGTGCAGTACGAGAGAAAAAGAGGAATCAAGGATGACACTAAGGTTTATGTTCTAGAATGTGGACTTGCCATCAACTGAGATAGGGAAGGCTATAAGTGGGAACAGGTTTTATGGGGAAAGATGAGGAAGTTAGTTTTGGACATGTTGAGTTGAGATGAATATTAGACATTCTAACGAAAATAATGTGTACCGACCACATACTATACAACAGACACGTCATTTAACCTCCCCCCACCTTCCTAATGCTAACAGCCACAGAATTGGCAGTTGAAAAGTTCTCATTTATTTGGAATGTTAGAAAATGTGTTAAGTTACAATAATTCCAATGAGCTTTTCTCAATTCTAAAAGGTATGGAACCTAAAAAGGGAATGTAGATGTACATGTATGAGAGTAATATAAACCTGTCAGGTGTTAGTGGTAGTGCACACCACAAGACCCCTCTGAAGGCTGTCCACATGAACCAGCTAAGCTCATGGTCCTAAAACATTTGTTCACAGTGATAACAATGTGCTAATGATTTTAAAGATGGTTCTGGGAG